AAGTTCTGTAAGGTAATGTTATATATTAGTCATGTACACCATATACTTTACTATAAAAAACATTACACTGAATAACATGACCTTATGACTTTTTAAGTTTTTTAAAAAGAAATTATTTTCTTTTTAAATCTGAAATAGAAAAAATTGAATTGCTAATAGGTTTTAAACTGATACAATATTCTTTCTATCTAGTAATTTATTATACATTAAATAATAAATTATACCTATAAAATTTTAAATAAAGCCCCTTTTTATTATATTTACAAAAATACAGTTAAATTAAATTTCCTTTATATTATTCGTAAGAGCAAAAAATGTACATAAGATTTTCAGATGTTTGGATTATGACATTCAAAATATTGTTCAACGTGTTCCGATTTTCTTTCGTCAATATCATTTCCGCCTTTTTTTTCTTGTGAGGAAACAGTTTGTTCATATTTTCGCTAAAATGGTTTAAACAAATATATATTATTAAATAAATGTTATCGAATCTATTTATTTTAACGAACCGATATAAATTAAAATAGTTTTTATCAAACAAGCATAAAATGTCGCTTCTACATATCAGGTAATGGAAAATAAAGGCCGTCATTTTTTCTAATACAAAAAAAATATTAATGGTAAAATAATACATTTTTGCCCATGAGTAAATTTGCTCCATATATCTTTTATATTAAGTTTTTAAAAAGGGAACATTTATGTGTAATTTTCCCTCTAGGGAAATTGACAAGATATTTTTAAATAAACTTAAAAAAAGACTAACTTATTTGGATTTTACTAAAGTTAATGTGAAGAAAACAATAATTTAATTCGTGTTAATTTTAATAAAAGTGAAATGTATTTAGAAATATTTGGATGTTTTAGAATTAAAATGGAATCATCTCTTGTGTGTAATAATTCGAATTTTTCAAAGTAATGAAGCACTTAGTTGAAGGTAAGTTTATTCTAAAATATTTAAAACAATAATAAAATTTGTATAAATTAGAGATGAAATACTATCAATCTATCCAAGTCAGGTTAAAATAAAAACACTCCGTTTTAACGTTTCGACGATACAATCGTCCTTTTCAGAAAATAATTTATAATTAATTAATTACGCATTATAGAAATTATAGTTTAGAATTTTTCAAATATTTTTTTCAATTAAGAATTTATTCATTTCTGACCTGCAGATGAAGGGTTATATCTCCTATAATTATTAATATATAATTAATAAATTAAGGGGTAGTTCACAAAGAACGTTACTTTTAAGGGTGGGGGGTCAAGTTGTGCGTAGTTTGTAAATGACCACCAAGTAATTTAATTTAAAAAAAGGGTTAGAAAACAAAAAATATTTAATTTTAAATTTAATTACAATGAAAGTGGATAAAATCCAGTCATCATTTCTCGCTTCTAAAATATTTATTTTGTAGAGGAGAGCAGGGCAAAAAGGGGTACCTTTTTGTAATTGGCTGTTTACAAGAAACCAAACGAATAAATCGATTCCACTAACCATCAGAATTATTCTTTGTACTCTTAACGGTGTTCAACGGTCTCTGAAATTTCTAGATTACATTCGACAAACCGCTATCACCCAACAAATACGGCACTGCCTGGTTTAAATGACGTGAAATTCGTAAACAATCATTTTCGAACGAGTTTTTCTCTGCACACAAGCACTTTTTGCAAAATCTGAATCCGAACCATTGACACAAATCTTCTTAATTACCTAAATCCAAAATATTTTTTTAATCCTTGAAGAAACGCGGTTGCAAAATGGGAAAGGCCAGAGTAACGTAATGCGAATCATTTTGACAGCTGATCCTTTACGCTCCCTGCATGCTTCTGCCCTCTAATGGCAAATGGTTGGAACAAACGTCTTGTCGCCTGTCATTACATTACTTTTGTGGCTTTTGCATTTCCCATTTTGCAACCGCGTTTTTGCATGGATTAAAAAAATATTTTGGATTTAGGTAATTAAAAACATTTGTGTTAATTGTATGTTGTCAGATTTTGCAAAAAGTGCTTGTGTGCAGAGAAAAACTCGTTCGAAAATGATTGTTTACCAATTTCACGTCATTTAAACCAGGCAGTACCGTTTTTGTAGGGCGAAAAGTGTAGGTCGCTCATAACCTACAAATTTCAGAGACCATCAAACGCTCTTAAGGCGCTAGCACAGCTCCTACTGGCTGCCTGCCTGCAGGTTGTCATGGTAACACATAACAGTAAGAGAGTCAGAAAATTCAAATTAAATGTTTTTTCTCTCTCACTCTCATTGCGCCTGCCTGCGTAGGCAGGCAGGCAGCAGAGATGAGAGTGTACCTTTAGGTTTGAGAAAAATTTTGATATTAGCAGAGAAAAAAATAATTTTTGAAATTACTTATATCGAATTTTTTTGAGAAGATGCTAAACGTGGAATAGTTTTTCAAAAATTGTTAAATTCTTGTGATACGAGATTATAAATAGAAACAAGAAGTAGGATTATTTATTATTATGAAAACAAGTAAAATTTATTACAATTTAACAAAAAAACATAGATAATGAAAAATATCGATAGTAAAACATCGATATTATAAATACCTCGAAACAAAAATATAGATTCTTCTGTGGAAAGTTTTGAAATGTGCCTAATATAATGTTTTTAAATAGGTTCAATGAAACGGCTTAGCACCCGACATGGCCCAATACACAGGTATACCTCATTTAGTCCCACACTGCATATTACAACAAAATGTAATGTTTCCCAGTTATTATAAACAATTTCACAATCAATCCTATTGAAAATTACTCAACAATAAGTGCTGAAAAAGATCCCATACTTGCGAAATTAAATAGATTATCCCTAAAAGATTTGTAATCATTTGAATTTCGAAAAACATTCATATCTTTTTTGCTTAAAACTTTGAAGTTGTATAACTTTCAGAAAAATTTTTTTTTTATATAGTGTCTTCATAATTAATAACATTTTTTATCAATTTAAATGATGTATATCGAAGATAAAGAAATTAAAAGCACCCACCATGGAAAAACAGGGGTACCTCATTTGACCCGCTTACCCCATTTTGCCCTACTTTTCCCTAAATATTTACTTGGATTCACAGAAAATGAGATGATTTCAATGACAATAAATTGAATCTTGAGAGAACATAAGATTTTTTAAATATAAGAAGTAGATGGAAAGTTCGAAAAAGAGGGTAAATATTTTAAGTTCCAGTTTTCATTTAGTTCTTTTTATTTATCAAATAAATGTAATTGTCATTTTGTAAAAATTAATACCTTGTCTATAGGCATCAGTTGAAAACTTTCAGAGTCAAATTCTTCGTCAGAAGAAACACAGATGGGTTCATTTAATTGATTTTTAACAACTATTCTTGGTGATTTTTGAAGTGTTAAGAATTTACGTTTTCGTCGTCGAGGTTCAAGACTAACATTATTAAATTCAGGCTAAAAAATTCAAAAAAGATTTGATAAACTATTACGGATATACTACCGAAAGCAACATAGCTCCGATTTCTTTGGAACTTGGTATACTTACGTAATGTTGTGCCCTGATTACGAAAATCATAGTGAAAATTAGCGAATAAGTCATCTTTATGGTAAAAACCATAAAAAACACCATAAAAATATTGTTTTTTGCTCCTTTTATCTTGCATTTTTATGTAGAACGGGAGTCAAAGTCAACTTTCTAGTTTGTACTAGAAGGTACTTTGAACACAGAACCAATGCACCTTACAACAAAAAAAGAAATACCCGTTTTTTTCAGATGCCTCTTAACAAGACAACTCGGAGTATTTCTTTTTTTTTTGTAAGAGAAAAGGAGCGAAAAACAAACAAATTCGACCAATTTTGAAAGAATTCCGCCATCTTAGATCCGCCATTTTGAATTTCGAAAAACTTATGTCATTTTCGTAATCAGCGACCCCAGAAACCTTAGGGTACCAAGTTTCATAAAAATCTATTCAAAATTTTGTCAACACACTTTTGGCCCAAACAGTGGAAATCTCGTTGACAGCCAAGGGGTTAGGTTCCCGGAAATAAATAATTTGTTTATTTTTAAAAAGAGAGAAAAGCATTGTTTTACTTAAAAACCAAAATAAAAATTAGGAAGAAATACTGAAGTTTTCATTATTTTTGAAGAATAAATAATAAATATTTTCACTTACATCACTATCTAAGCCTATCTCCTGTGTGACACCATCTCCTCTAATCGATTCCTTTTTTTGGACAAAAAGAAGTCTATCTTTAAGTGATGTCAAGGTTGGTGTAATTTTCATTACATTTTCATTGAAAAAATGTTTACTTTCTTTTATTTCATTAAACTTTTTTGTTGTCTTGTTGACCCAAGACACTAAAACCTGTTAGAAGTTATATTCCTTTATTATGTTTTACTATATAAAATAAAAGCGAACCTTTTGAAACCAAAAGAAATTGTCTACAAGTTAAGAAAATTAAATAATTTTCCGAATTTAATTCAATAATTAAAACTCTTATCAAGCGTAAAAAAAATATATCACACACGTTTAAATTAGATAAGTGTACAAATTATGGCGCGGATTTTGTTCAGCCTCCTTTAAAATAGTAAATTCGAGAATTGTGATAAAAGAAGTAAATTTATGACTTATTAAATTAAAAGTCCGCGTCATTTACACAATAAAACATTAATAAAAACTTTATAAAAATTAATTATTTAAACAAATTAAAGCAATAAAAGATAAACAAAGTTGCCATAATTGAAGCACCCGCTACAATTTGCACACTCACTCAATATAAACAAATTTTAAATTCGAATTATAATTTAAAATCCAAAATTATTTTTAAAGATAATTTCATTTTAATAAATTTTAAAAGGATGTTTTGAAATTAAAAAAATTAATTTTTTTTTAAATAAGCACAAATTTCTAATCACAAATGTAAATAAAAAAATAACATTGAAGAAGGTAAAACAATAATTTTAATGAAGTAATAAAAGATAAAAGAAACAAAATATTTAAGTCTTAAAAAAATATATAGCTACTTTCTGCCAGTTTTCAAATTCCCTATTATTGTCTGACATTTTGTTCAGTACTTCAGAAATGTTGGCCCATTCTTGATTGTATAAATCTCTTGTAAAAGATTGTGTAAATTTCATCGTTAATAAAATAGGATTATCTTCAACGCATTCTAGTAAGTGCAATAGTTGCCTGTAATAAATTTTTCTTACTCTCCCGGTTTTACATTTTTCACCATTAGACAATTCTTCACTCACTAAAAATAATATATATTGTTTTTTAAATTTGAATTATTTTTATTTTAATAAAAGAAAAATGGATTATTTGTTAAATTGCTTACTTGTTAAAGTAAATATTTCAAATCGAGAAAAAATTTTAATTTGAGATGTCTAACAAATTAAACATTTTCTGTGTCATATGATACGCACCCATGTATAAACTAATAGTTTGTTTGAAAGAGTAACATATTTAAATTATTTTTAAAACTTAAACAAAGACAATTTTTTACCTTTACACAATTCAATACTTTTTTAACATTGAAGGATATAAGAAATTCTTAACATTGAAAGCAAGAAAAAAATTACAAAAATATAAATCTTCTTTTATAACTAAGAATTATTTATTTATACAGTTAAAGTAACTTTTTATTAACACAACTTGACTTTTAATTATTTTAAATTTGCGTCCAAAGTTTCCATAGCAACATATCAAGGTATATAGAGTAATTTCAATATGCTCTTTCTCCAATAGGATCCCAAAAGTCTGCGTAATGTTGATTCCACACTTACCCAGTCGCTCCGCTTTCCGTGGCGCTTTGCGTGAGATAGAAAAAGATAGAGATTCCGCCACGGAAAAGCGGAGCGACTGGGTAAGTGTGGATTCCCCATAATAGCAACCGTAGCAACGCAGAGTTTTAAGAACATAATATTGGAGAAAGGCCTTTAAGAATCTACCATGCGTCAAAGGCCTTCAAAAGTCATGCGCAGAAAATCTTTTCTTTTAACCTTAAAATTGAAATGTGCTTTTCCGCGATCACGTGCTATTGTTCTACGCTAATGTGGCACTGTGATCATGAAACATTTGTTTACAAAATGTTTCTCTTATATATTAATGTGTTTGAGAAAATTCACAGTATTAATACATTAATTAAATAATAATTGTAATTATTATTATGACTGGAACTATGTATAGATAGAATAATTGTTCTTTTACTTTAGGTTGTTATTTCTTATTGTTTTAATATACTGTAGTGTTTATAAAGATTTTATACTCTTTTTATGAAATGAATTTTCTTTTCGATTGATTTAATGAACTATAATTTACAAATTTTAGAAAATCAAATAACAATGTTTCTCAAAGTTATTATAAATGTTTGTCTTTCTCTATTTAAATAGAAAAAAAAATATACTTAATATACTCTCTCTCTCTCTTTTGATAGAAGAATATGGAAAGAAACAAAAAACTGTCACTTTATGAAACTTCAGTTTCATAAAGTGACAGTTTTTTACTATTACTACTTATTTTCATCAGTGCACAGTCATAACAAATTTTCTATTTTTCCACGTTGCCAGATTTTTACTTAAACCAGTAAGTAATAAAAGTAATTTACAAATGTTATTGTTACAAACCAGAATTTATTTATTAAATTAAATATCGAGCTTTTGAGATGGCTCTAAAATTCTATTTGGGGAGGCACCAAGCTGCCGAATTCCGTGGGGAAATCGTTTAAATTGTGGATCCGTTTTCCACTTTTAAAAGTTACCACTGCTTCTAAAGATGTGTTTGTTTGAGGAGTAAAGGTAAATAAAGAGAAAATTAATTAAGGAAATTAAAGAGGTTTATTTGTGTGGTGAAAGAAAATTTAGAACGATACATCTACTTACTCTACCGGCGACAGTGGTGTCACAATCAGCTGCCGTCGGGCGAAACAAACTTCTGTTGGTGTTGGCACACAACACGATTTTTTTTTCTTTAGTCTTTTGTTCAAGTAAATAAATTTGAACTTTAGCGTTTTCTTTAGTATTAAAAAAAAACTAAAAAAAAATTATTTTAAAACAACAATTTTTTTTTTTTATCAAAGCCGTTGTATCGGAACGGCGCAGGCGCCACACGCACGGGCTGGCCGGTTTTCACATAAACAAAAATCTGCTATAATTAATTTAATAATGACAGCCGATTTTCATCCGACACAATTCTCGATGGACTCCGTCGGTTAGAAGAATTTAATTTAATTTTTCGTCCGCCTTTCGCGTTATACTTAAAAAGTTTTACACGGGGGTCCGACTCGCAGACGGGCTAAGTCGCGGCGTTCTTGTTTCTCGCAACACTTGCCAAGCTGAAGCCAGGAGAGGTGTTGCTCGAGAGAAGCAAGAAGTAGTACTGCATTAATTAAAAGATTTTGACTAGCCTCTAGTCCTTGTTTTACCTCCAGAGTGGGACAATTTTGCAGACGAGGAAATTTTAATTTTTAGGAGTAGGAAGGAATTCGCGGCCCATTGGACGCTGCAATTTTCGCTGACTCTAGCATGCATAGACAGCCTCGTGTGAACGGAAACGACTGTCATTTGATATTTTTCTGAAAATAACTCCCTATAATTAATGAAAATTAATTTCATCATTTTATTAAATACAACAATTCCCAATTGTGATGGCTGCTTAAATTAATTTACAGCCATACAACTGTGTGAATTGCTAATTAAATTGGTGGAGTTGTTTAGTTGTATGTTATTTCCGATCACAAGTTGATTGATTATTGATGCGTAAAATCAACCAATTGTAGTGGTTGAGCACCCCTGTTGTAGGGTCAAGCTGTCAAAACGCACGTGCGTTTGTTATTATATTGCGGCGTAGCTTGTGGGCCTGAGGGAAAAGGGGAGGGTTTTTATCAGAGGAAAACAGCGAGTAGAGGCGAGCACGGAGCATGTGTTGGTGTGCGCGGCTGTGAGTTCGTATGTCGTTGTGAATTCTATAACGAACGGAGTCCGCGAGAGCATCGGTGTATACTATAAGCCGAGAAATCCATGCATGTGTGCGCTATTATAATCCTTCAACCACATGTGCACGTATTTGCGACAGATATTATTTTGGTTTTTATTTCCTCTTTCCCTTTTTTTTTTCTTTTTAGATGCATATTTTGTAGTGCAACATTACCGCAACATTCCATACTTTTGATGTTGCTACAATGTTGGTTATTGCCATTTTGGCTTCGCAACATTGCCGCAACGTTCCATAATTTTGATGTTGCTACAATGTTGGTTATTGCCATTTTGGCTTCGCAACATTGCCGCAACATTCCATAATTTTGATGTTGCTACAATGTTAGTTATTGCCATTTTGGCTTCGCAACATTGCCGCAACATTCCATAATTTTGATGTTGCTACAATGTTGGTTATTGCCATTTTGGCTTCGCAACATTGCCGCAACATTCCATAATTTTGATGTTTATCTCCTTAATTTTAACTCTGTAATGTATAGAATAAAATTTTTTTTTTTTTTGAAACAAAATTAGGAATTTTAATTTTATATTTTATAATTTCATTTAGTGCCGGTTGAAGGCTACGAACGTAGACTTTCAACGCTGACAAAGCTCGGCTTATCAGGGTGTCATGTTTCCAACTTCAAGGCTTGCTACTTGGTGGCAAGTCCTAAACTGGAGAGAATTTCTTTAGAATACAATTTGACGTTGTTGCCATAATTATTTTTTTTTTTTAACGTGTAACAGTTATTTTATTAGAAAAAGGAAAAACTTTTAATTTTGTTTTGTAATTTTGCTAAATTTTAACGTTAATTTTTATTTCAGTGAGTGACGAAGATGTTGATACCAAAACCGGTAAGAAGAGTAGAGTTGGAAGAATCAAATATAAACAACAGGTTTATTTACTTTCCTGTATAGAAGAGAACCCAATTTTACTAACGAAGCAATTCACTCGAGCATTTTCTAAAGTTCTTTACAATCAGGAGTGGGCCAAACTGACAGAAAACTTGAACAAAATGTCTGATAACAACAGGGAATCTGAAAAATGGCAGAGAGTAAATACAAATTAAAAAAATTTAACTTCTTTCTTTTTAACAGTTTTACTTAATTAGTAAGTTAGTAGTTTAGTTTTTACTTATAATTATTAATTTTTACTTATTTCTTCAAAAAAATAGTTTAGAATAATTTAAGACTATAAAAACAATTGAGAATAGATATTTCGTACATTTACAGCTTATTTTTTATATTTTTTAAATTTCAAATTGTATTTTAAAAGGTTTTAGGATCTTGGGTAAGCAAGGTGAAGAATAAGGTTGCTGAATTAAAGAAAATCAAAAAATCCACCGGAAAAGGGAATCTACTGAAAACTTGCACAACACTGACAGATTTGGAGGAACGTCTGTACGCCCTTAAAGGGAGAACATCTGTTGAAGGAGATGGAGAAACAGGGGAGATAGGCTTTGAAAGTGACGTAAGTAGACATGTTAAATTATGAAACATTTTATATTCCCAAAATATTGTCTTTAACATCCTTACGGTTTAACCCGTGCATTGATTTGATAATGATAGGGCTCGAACTAGGTCCGTCACTTCGCCTTACGTCCGTAAGTCATTTTTAAAAAAAAACGTCGGTTAAGTCCGCAATTTAATTAAAAAAGGACAAAAAGTTAATAAATTGTGTAATATAATTTTAAAAAATTATAAATGATTGCAGAATTTCAAATATTTTTTAAAGTAATACTCGCAAACATTTAATTATATTCATAAATTGTTTTTGTATATAATAAAACTCTTCTTATGAATTCAATTATTTTCACATAAAACTCATCGTAAAATTTCAATTGTTCTTAATACACTTTTAATCGACTTTCTTGAAAAATGTAAATTAAATTAAATTAAATTTGTCAAAAGAATTCAATTGTAATTAAAAATTTTGATAAAATTCTTCATAAAAATTAAATTTTAAGAAACATGCAATTATTTAATCAATTATTTATTTTTGTATTTAAATTATTGAATTCTAGTAGAATTTTCTAAAAAAAATTCATTTAAAAATTAATTTTAGTTAAAATTTTAGATAATAATTGAATATTAAATACAATAGAGCGTGAATTTTTAGAAATAATTGAATTGTGAAATTAATTTTTTTGAAAAAATTTAATTAAATTGTTTTTATTTTCTAATATATATGTAATTAAAGAATTTACGACTAATTGAAATTTCGTAAAATTGAATATTGTAAAGAAATAGAATTGAAAATTTGGAATGGAAAAAATTATAAAAGAACTTTTTCGAAAATGATAAAAAATAATTGATTTAAAGAAGAATATTAGTTAATAATTCTCGAAAATAATAAGTGAATTGAAATTATGAAAATGATTTGGAAGAAATTACAGTAACCAGGGTCGCCACAGTAAAGTCTGGAAAACAAAATGTTTGTCAGTAAAGTCAGGGAAATGATAGGAAAAAATTTTTATCAAGGAAATTAGGAAAATTGAGACTTTTTTTGACGTATTTTCAAAAATTGTGACTTTTTCGACTTTTCTTCCAAATATTGCAAAAAAATACCCTAATTTTTAGTAAAAAAGTGCAAGTTATTTTTATATTTACAATGCAAAAAATAACTATATAAACAAATCTTTCAAAAATTGTTTTTTAATTATTTTAACTTAATTCAATCTGTAATATATCAATAATAAATATCTTTTTGAATAGTAGAAATTTGATAAAATTTAATTGAAAATAATTAATTTATTTCAAGTATATATTTCCAATTTTTTAAAAATCAATTTTTGTAGAATTTTAATTGCAAATTTTGAAAATAATTGAAATAGAAAAAATTGTTATAAAAAATCTTTAAAGCTAAATTTAAAAATGAAAATAAATGAAAATTATTTTCTAATTTTTGAAAATTAAATATTTTCAGTATTTTCAATTACATATTTTCAAAACTTCAAATACATGAAAAAATGATATTTTAGAATTATTTTTAACATTTTAGAAAAAACAATCATGTTCAAAATTTTGAATTAGAATTCATCAAAAAATTAATTAGTTTTCTTAAATTATAGGTACTAAAATTCTTTCAAGAAATTTAATTATTTCCAAAAAATTAACATTAAAATATTTTTAAAAACTAATTATTAGAATTGTTTTATCACAATTTATAGTAATTCTTCAAAAATTTGATCAATTTTTTATATTTTTCAAAAATTTAATTATTTAAAAAAAAATTACATATTTTTAATTGTTTGAAAAATTTTCAAAGTTCAAAAACTATTATATTTCAAAAATTTTTCAAAATAACTCAAGAAAAAATTAAAGAGAGTTACAATTATATAAAATTTAGTTTTTGTATTTAAATAAATTAATTCTAGAAGAACTTTTCGAAAACTATTTAAATTAATTGATTCAGAAATGAAATTTAGTTGCAAATTCCCACACAGCACATGATATTTCCTGAATACTTCCTGAATATTTCACTGAAAGATTGAAATATTTCATTGCAAGATTCAGGAAATATTTCTGCAAACAGGAAAATGTCCGCTTATGTGGGAATATTGACGCGAAAGTTGAGAAAACATTTCATTGAAATATTTTGGAAATATTCAACTGAAATGATGCGCACTGGTCGAACTCAGTTTCTATGGCCTGTAGAGTTGCGCAGTAGTTTTTGGCTTACTATATCCTATGGGTTTTAAAATATTTCAGAAAATTCCTATTGATTTGAGGTGTTTAACAAATTTTTCCATTTTTTGAAATATTTTCACAATATTGCAGAATCTTTATGTGTAATATTGCAGGAATATTTCAATGAAATATTTTCTCAATTTTCGCGTCAATATTCCTACATAAGCGGACATTTTCCTGTTTGCAGAAATATTTCCTGAATCTTGCAATGAAATATTTCAATCTTTCAGTGAAATATTCAGGAAGTATTCAGGAAATATCATGTGCTGTGTGGGTTGTAGATCATGAATCGTGTAATGACAAACATTTATATTTTTTTATTAAAAAATATTTATTTAATTAAAATTCAATCCCGTATTATTATTTTCATTACTACAACCATTGTTTACATGATTCTTTGTTTTTTATTATTGTAGATTATGTAAATGCAATATTATAAATAAAAAACCAAACGGTCCGGTTAACCCCAGGGAGTGGGGCAAACCGGACCATTTGCAAATTTTTTTAAAGTTAACACAGCAACTAAACAATAAAAGATAAAGTATAGGTGTCTCTGGGAAAAAGTTGCGCAATTAAATGATCTTTCAAACCAGCCATCGAAAAATGAAATCGGTTGATTCGTTTAGTCACAAGAATCAAAAAACCGTTAGGGGGTCTGATTTGCCCCACTCTCCCCTACTCATTTTTTGTAAACTTTCATATTTTCCTGTAAAAATATTTTGTCAGGGAAAATAATTTTAATGTCAGTAAATATATATTAGAAAATAAAAACAATTCAATTAAATTTTTTTTAAAAAAATTCATTTCACAATTCAATTATTTCTAAAAATTCACGCTATATTGCATTTAATATTCAATTATTATCTAAAATTTTAACTGAAATTAATTTTTAAGAAAACGTCAAGGAAATTGATGAACTGAAATTTTTGTCCACCCTGCAGTAACAATATTCTTGTAATATAAAATAATGATTTTATTATGGTATCATATTTAAGTATTATAAAATTAGAAGAAATGATGTTTAAGTTACAAACAATTTTAATTTTTAATTTTAAGTAAAATGTTCTCTTATTTCTCGATTTCGTAGACTGAAGCTGTTGATTTCGATGATGAACCTAGGCCTAAAAAACGTAAAGTTCCAACACCACCACCATAAGAATCTAAGAATGAACACCGTCAACCGGTCTTGGAACCAAAAATAATAGATCTCAATAGTAGTTCTAACATACCGATAAATGTTTCTTCAGAAGAGGAATTTGACTTTGAAACTGTTCCACCGCCCAAAAAAAGGGTATTTATAGATCTATAGATTACAGATAACTGATAAATTCTTTTTAAGAGTTTTTATTACTTATTTTTCATTTAAACTAAATCACTTTATCAGAGTTGCCACAAGTCAGGGAATTCAGGGAAAAGTCAGGGAAATTAGAATTGGTCAGGGAAGTCAGCAATTTTTTTAAAAGTACTGAAAAAAATTAAATTTTTAGAATTTATAAGAAAATTATGAATTTTTGTGTCTTTTTTGTTTTAACTTAAATAAAAATTTGTTTTTTCATTCTCAGTCAGATTTCAATTATTTTCAATTTTTTTTAATGAAATTTAATTCAAATTATTTTAAAAACTTTTTGTTTAATTCTGAAAAATTCAACTATTTAAAAAAATTTGAATAAATTTCTTCACAAGCAATTAATTATTTTCATAAATAATAATATTTTTCTCCGAAATTCAATTATTTTTACAAATAAAATTCTTCAGGGGAATTCAATTTTAATAAAATTCGTTGCAAGAATTTAATTATTTTCATAAATAAGAAAACTTATCGCAGAATTTTAATTATTTTTTTACAATTTTAAATAAAATGACAGAAAATTGCATTTATTTTTACAATATTTTTTTTAAATTTGTCGAAAGAATTCAATTGTAATTAAAAATTTTGATAAAATTCTTCATAAAAATTAAATTTTAAGAAACATGCAATTATTGAATAAAATATTTATTTTTGTATTTAAATAATTAAATTCTCGGGAAATTTGCCTATAAAAATTGATTAAAAAATGAATTTTTCTTAAAATGTTAAATTATAATTGAATATTAAAAGCATTATAGCGTGAATTTTTAGAAATAATTGAATTTTGAAAAGAGTTAAAACTAAAATTTTTGAAAATTTGAATTTTTAGTTACAATATTCTTTTGATAAGAAATAATGATTTTATCACTCTGGCTCCGAGTCAAAGACTCGGAGTGCTCGATTTTATCATATTTTATAATAATATTCTTATAAGTTATTGAATTTGAGAATCTTAATTCCTATAGAAAAATAATAATAATTAAATATTTATTTAAAAAAATTCTTATTCTGGAAATCAGGGAAAAGTCAGAGAAATTTGTGGCAACCCTGTTTATTAACCTGTCAAATATTTAAATTTTACGTTCCTAATAATTTAAAAAGAATGTTAAATTAAAAATTTGAAAAGTAAATTATGTTTTTTAAAATTTGTTTCCAATAATCAATTTTATTCCATGTTTAGGAGCTCTCTGTGGAAGGTGCTGCCAACTTAAGGAAAACAGAAAATCAGAACCCTTCTGTATCTACAAATCCTAAGAAAACCAGAGGTGCTGTTTTATTACAGAAATTAAAAAATTCGTCTTCCTCTTCAGTATGTATATCATTTATTATTCATACTTTTTTCATAATCTACAGATTGTATACTATACATATTCTTAAATTTTTTTGTAGGATTTTTGCTTTTTTCATCCCCGTTTTTGACATGCTTAATTTGTTTTGATTTTTTGAAATGTCTTTCCAAAATATTAACAATTTTGTCATTGTACCATCCCTTTCTTTTTAAAATGAAGGTTTTGATTTTACAAAAATTACACTATAATTTATTTTATAGCAACAATATAGATAATGTGATATTCACTGAAAGTGGGAAAGATTTTACAAAATTTTTGAAATATTGAGTGTCTAGCAAAAATTCAAATTCGAATTCATTAATTGATGTTAAGAATAAATAAATTATCAAATTTTTGTAAATTCAAACTACACTGGAGCTTCACTTATTTTCACTAAGTCCAAACAAACTGAAAGGCAAAGTCGCACTTATTTTCACTCTGAAACGTAACATTCGAGTTGATTTGATTGGTGGATTCTTTTACATCAACCAATGAGAACGCACGGAGAACCTTTTAACTGAAAATAAGTGAGACTGGAAATGGTGAAAATAAGTGCGACTGTAAATAAGTGAGACTGAAAATAAGTGAAGCTCCAGTGTATCACATTTTAATACGAGATTACACAACAATTTTTTCTTTATAATTTTTTGCACTAAATTATTATTATTACAATTACTGCATAAATATTATATAATAATATTAACTAACTATATTATTAGTAACCAAAATATGCCTAATATATTTTATTTTACCTTTAATTATAACTTTTCTGAAGTAGTATTTAATTCCTGTTTATTCTTTTTTAGCTTCAAGATGAAAAGATTTTGGAGTTTCGAAAAATGCACGAAGAAGCAATGACAGTCCAAACGGAAATCAGAGATACATTAAATAATATTTTAAACGTCATAATTCAAACGTCCGAAAACCTTTTGAATTCATTAAATTCTCCAGAATCTCCAGAATAATCGAATACGATATTTTTTAATGAGAACCATTTTCTTCTTTACTGTTGTGATACTAATTCTTACAATTCAATCTATTTTCGCAATTTTGTTTCAAATTTAAATTTTTCAATTATAAAAAGACAGTAGAATAGATTTATTTCAGCGTTGCCAACCTTGGCGATTTATCGCCCATCTGGCGATTTTTTTTGATTGGCTTCTTAAATTTTTAATTTGTCGATACGAGCCAAATTAACTCATTGTTAATGTTGTATTAATATAAAATAAATACAATTTTATATATTGTATTAATATAAAATTTGCAATAAAAATTTTTAAAAAACGAAAAATTTACTTTTACATTTTTTATAAACCTGCTTTTCTCCACTTACAATCTTTTCTTTTTTAAGCAGTTTTAACTTACTATATGTGGATGTCCCCATGAAAAGGATCCATTTTGTCGATTTTAGTTTTAAAGACAATCGCAATTTAGTAATTTTTGAAAAAAATCTTAATTTTTTTATTTTTATTATCAATCTACATGTTTTAATAAGTCACATCCTGCGGTTTATTTTTATTTATAGTTAATTTAAGTGTTTTATTTCATTGGTTTTTTCGAAAATAAAAAAAAGAACCTATTTTGTCGGTCCTTTGCAAAAGTACTCCGAATTTTCGAAATGGAGGAAAGGGAAAATTTAAATTCTCTTAATTTTTCATTTTTAAGGTGCCCTGGCGTGAAAACAATTCTAGTCCTAATAATTACCCAGATTTGGCTATAATTATTAGAAAAATTAAAATCTTTATTGAAATTCGTAACGGATACACAAACGAATTAAAAATTTTTTTTGTCAATTTAAAACATATTTTGACCTTAATTTTCTAAGGTTAAATGTTTGTAATCGCTATGATAGCGCAAAGCTTTGTAGACACAGAATTTAACTGTAAACAATTGATACTCGTAGCAATTTGACAACATATCCTTGCTACATCGCTATATAGTAGCACTAAATTTATTTTTAATGTAAGATGTAATGTAAGATTAAAATCTTACATTACTTTTAAAATAAAAATAATATTAGAATATTATCAGTCTAATTAGCATTAACAAATTAAAAATATGTGTTCTACTATTTCTCAATAGCAAAATGCACTATATAGCACTATATGGCGCTATGTTTCAAATGCTTGAACATAGCTTCTACAATTAGTTAGCACGGTGCTACTTAACGTTGTGCTTGACAGAATTCCTCTGCTGCTGCTGAAATGTTGTGCTTGATAAGGTATTTGGGATTAATGATTGGTGACATCGTTTCAGTAAATAATCCTTTTTGGAAACTGTATCTCTGTTTAAGAGAAATTTTTGGAGTTGTAACTTCTGCCACATTAGACAGAGGTCAAATACAAAATCTTAAAGAACTCATAAGGAAGCATAATATGTTATATTTTGAACTTTTTGGAAAATTGAAACCAAAAATGCATGTTATTAATGCCATGTTATTAAACGGACCAGCCGTTCATTACTCAGCAATGAAGTACGAGAGGAAAAACAAACAACTTAAAGAAATCGCAGTAGCTACTACGTCCAATATAAATTTACCATTGACAATTGCAATTAAACATCAGCTACAATTTTGTTATACAACAGAATTCTTTCCACCTATACAAAGTGATATAAAACTTGGACCTATTCATATCGCTAATGCACACAGCCTTTTAAAGAAATTACTTCCAAACATACCTGATGAAATACCTGTGACAACTTTAAAAAACGTTGATATACTTGGTAACGAATTCTCCGCTGGAACCGTATTTGCAAGCAGAATTTCTGAAGATGGTCCTCATTTTGGAATAATTAAAAAAAATTTCTACTACAAGAATGTTTACTTTGAAGCGGAGGAGCTTGAAACACTATGCTTTAATCGTCACTACCATGCTTATTACGTGCAGTATAATTCTAAGCTATCAAATATATTAATAAACGTAGACTTGATGCCAAAAACGTCACCTTGTTTTTAATCAAAAAAGGTATGAATGAATTCGTAGCGACGAGATATGATATATAAAATTGTACAAATGTTTACCTTACCTTTTTACATTTCAAATTTTCTATAAAAAATGTATTTCCTAACATGTCACGTTAAAAGGACCTTAACTGCTCTTGCCTTCGCTGCGCAGAGCGTCAAATATGATAATATTGTAATATTTTTTGTTTCTTGTAAGAAACAGGTTCTACTTAATCAAAGCTGCGTATGTACTGGATTCATAACTACAATTTTATCAATGAAGGATTTGATTTTCTTATAATAATTGCTTTGAAAGGGACTTTTTCGACACATTCAAATGTCTTTTAGTGCTGTTCACTTTAATGTGGTGATCCAAATTTTAAAAATTGTAAAAGTAAAAAGTACTTATTATTCTAATAGTAATAATGTTTGTTGTAACAAGCAATACATTTAAACTTGTCTTGACTTTTGTATTTATTTGTATATTTTAATTAAAAAAACTTTTCTTAAATTTGTAACAATTTAAAGCAAAACATTTAAAAAGTAATTTTTTCGCAAATAAACAATCTAAATTCACAAATAATGTAGCAATTCTTAACAAGGAATAGTCGGTTAGTTCATGAAATTAAATTTAAAACAAATAAACCTTTACAACACTATTTCAATCACAGGTATTCTTTTATTCATCTTATTTAGATTTAAAATATGTTTTTAAAATTTATATCTTCAATATTTATGTTTTGAACATTTAAATGATCTTCATTTATTTGTTTTGCTAAAACATCAGACATGAAAATGTAATTTAAATATTAAAAGAATCGTTAAATGTAAAATCAAAACTTTTTAATAAGAAACTTTTTTTACATTTTTAATTACAATATAGAATAATTAAAGCCATGAACGTTTTTTCATGGGATATACTATATCTTTTTTCTCGCAACAGTTTTAATATATACTAAATAGTTATAACATTAAACGCCAATGCTTATCAACATCTTAAACATCATTCTTTTAAACATTATAATAATATTATGCACTTAAAATATTAATGCTTTTTATCGAACATCACCAAATCTACTAATAAGAAAACAAGTATAAAAAATAAAATAATACAATAATGAACGATGTCTAACAATAAAATCTTTAAGATCTTTTGTACTCAAGGTAGTATTACAGTATAAAGCAACTTCAATAATCAAACCTTTTAAATAAAATCTAGCAAACCACCTAATGCTTAAAACGATCATAAAACATAAAATAATTTATAAATTTTAACGTTGCTTATCAATGAAATCTTTGAGATCATCCGTGTTTTGAACATTACTATAGAACACTCATGTAACGAACACTTTGATACTGATCACAGCTCTTACTGTTTAAAACAATTTTAAAACGTAAAATAATTTATATTATATATAATACTATTTATTAGTCACATCTTTTTAAGTCTCAAATAGCGTTAGAATATAAAATACCGAAAGTCATTAATACTTTTTAACCTCTTTTTTTAAATAATTTCTTTCATGAAAGTTGTTTCAGTTGGTCGATGACTTTAGTGACAGCACCGTATAAATTTGGAATCTGAAAATCATACGCCTCTCTTTCAAGAAATTGCCACACGTGGCAACAAACGTGTGAAAAATTTTTACGTAAGACTTTTACAGCTTGGAAGCATAAATCAACAGCTTCCATAGCGCTTTTAACTTGGTAAGTGTGAGGTCCCATTAAAATGTAGGCTGCTGAAATTTCGTTTAGAGTGGGACCACATATTACAACAAAAGGAGCCATCATAAGTTTGTGTTCCGTATGCAACTGCTCAATTTTTTCATAAATTGCATTTAAAGAATTGACCGTATTGTCTGTTTGCTGTAAAGATTATTTCCAAATAATTATTTATAATTTATATAGGTAACAAATGATAAGTGTAAATGAAAAACCTTACCTTGAAGTGGTAGATGAAACTGTTTAAAACTTCATACTTTTCGGGATTCCAAGCTTTTCCAGTTTTTGAGCGCTTCGTCAACTTAGTAATTTTTTTAAACAAATACGGGAGCAATACTAATGCGAAACTATTACTACATTCTGTAAATAAGGTAAATAATAAAAGTTTGAAACTACACATATTTCAACATGACATAAAAATGATAAAAACCTTTTGTTTTTTGGTCGTAATCTTTTAAAAACGACCGAATTTCCTTGTCACTCTTTTTCTGTAGCGATAAACTTATAATTTTTTCAGCAATAGATGGCCACCTTTCGCTAAATAAATTTTCTTTTTTCTTAAACGAAAAACAAAAATCTGCCTGTATCTTTAAAATACAATAAAGTTTATATTACATTAAGTAACATAAAAAAAGTTTTAATCACCAAAACATCTATGTAACTAGCATAAATCAAAATTATGAATTCAGCGTACTCACCAATGTATACCCAAGTGGGTGCATTAAACAGGGAAAGTCTTGAAAAATTGTTTTGTAATTTAGTTTAGTGAACTATTCAATTTTATCTTTTACTCGTTCACTTATCCACATTGTCCTAAATTCTTCATCAATAAAAGTTACTTGTTTTCTTAGTTCATTCAATTCCGCAAAGTAAGTTTCATCTACAATAGATATTAATTTTAAAAAATAAGTAAAATAAGAAAGTAAATGTAAATACAAATATAGCAGTATGGAAGTAATAATAATAATAATATAAGAAGTTAAATGCGAAAAAATAAAAATAATAGATACCTTCAACAGCTGTTTTTCGTTTAGTTCCTTTTGATTTGGGTGTGAACTCCATCGCGACTGCCTTTTCGCGTATTCTTGAATAAAAGGTTTGGAAAGCACCATAAGAATTACTGCATTTAGTTGAACGAGCGTAGAAGCTTTGTTGTAAATATGATGGAAATAGACTAGCTGCACTTGCAGCTAAAGCTTCGAACGTATCAGACGTTATCCTAAACCGGGAAAAAATCGTAAAAATGTTTTCAAAAAATGATAATACGCAAGTTTTTTTTTATTTTATATTCCTTTCTAAATCTGAAATTTACTAAAACTTATGTTAAATTTTAATGAACGTGTTTAGTGGTTTTAAGGTTTTATACGAAAATTTCTCTCTTTGTCACTGTTTTATCAAATCGCAACAATTCTTACCGTGTGTATTTTTTTAGAAATACTTTTTGTATACTTACGTATAAGATAATGTACGATGAATTTCATGATACACCACTATTCTTGCAATTGCGTGAATTGAAAAAAAAGTTTGATTTTTTTCTTCCAACAGCTTT